CTCCACACCCAGCCAACCTAAAAGAGTGACCCCAGGACTGTACCCACCTCTCCCCTCACATAGTGACCCCAGGACTGTACCCACATCTCCCCTCACAGAGTGACACCAGGACTGTACCCACCTTTCCCCCTCACAGCAGCAGCCACACTGCAGATTAGGAGCACAGAGAGGACTCCCAGCACTGCCCACACCCAGGAGCTCAGTCTGCAGGACTCTGTGTTACCTAGGAGGGGAGACAAAGAACAGACCTGAATAAGGTTGTAAAGGATTCTGCTGTCTTGGACTGAAGCATTTACCTCAGTAATTCTTTTTGTTTTCAATGTCAAGCACACATAAAACACCCTTCAGCTTGTGAGGTGGTGGAGGATGAAAGGAAGTCAGAGGGCTAAATTGAGTGACATAGAAGAAAATACAACTTATGAAAGAAGTATTGAAGGATTACTGTGAGATCCAGACACATAACAGGAACAAGCATTCCTACAGTGTGTGTCAAAATATTGACTAGAAAAGGTCAGAAGTCAGGTCAGAGATTTTAGAAATACAGCATTAGCACAAATTGAGGTAAAGAAGGAATGAGCACAAGCCATAGGAAACTTGTGTTCTGTATCTGTAGTACATTGTAAAACTTTCCAGTACGTTGTAAAACTTTCAGGTTTGGAGGTAGTTTGCCGGGTTGTTGAGGGTTTAGCTGTTTCTACTACAGCTGCAGTAGAGTTTACAGTTTCTTCTGAGAGCTCTTTTCCCCATTACAGCTTGGTCATAAACTGTCCTGATTCTAGCATAGAAATTTTCCCATGTTTTATGATCAATGTTGAAAGAGCGACTCTTACCTGCAGAGGAATTAATTATGTTCTCTCCTGCAATAAAAACCATATTTAAACATGAAGGTGATCAACTTGTGACTCAAGCATTTATTGGACAATATATAATTTATTTAATACAATACAATTCTGAGGGCTGAGATAGAAACTACATACAGCATCACATATTTATGATCCAGGGGAAACAAATCGACTAAATAAATAACAACTAAAATAAAAAAACTATTTGACACACAAAGACAATTTTACTCCTTAGTTAGGGATGTTTGTAGCTACTCTCTTCCCTTTCCATGAAAAATATATTTCTTTTTTGGATCCTTGTTTTCCACACAAGCGATCTCAGCCATTAATGTGCAGAAATGTTGAACAAATGGATCATACCTGAATGAGAATTACTGATGTTCTCTCCTGCAATAAAAATATTTATGAATCCCCAAATATTTAAGTGACTCAATTACAACATTACTTGATATGGTTTAGACTTCTTGCATTGTTTCAGAGAACTTAAATATTAAAAATTAATTTCTACTTTTGTATTCTTTGTATTTAGATCATGTCATCATTCTGTTGGCACTATATAAAGGTCTTTAGTATACTGTAGGAAAGATTTTGCATACAGTAGTGC